TTACGCGTTCACCATCAGCAAAATCAGAACACAAGATTCAAAGCATATTACGATCGAACACACGGAACTATGAAATCGTGGTTCCGACACGCGCATCGCTCGAAGTGAAAAACACACGAAGCTATACTCTGTTTCAACCACGGTGTAATACCCCTGTCAGACGGGCACGTTAAATGACATTGAAGCAAAATGACATTACAGCTCGGCTAATCCGCGTGTTTAAAACGGCACGCTGCGCGTGCACGCGCCACGTGCAGAACCAGGTTCACGAGCTGATTGGCCGAGTGGTAAATGACATTCGATGAAAATGACATTTACGTTCCCGTCTGACAGGGGTATATCTTTAGGTGAGGACACGGCGGGGCTGAACGCGCAGCGCGAGGAATTAGACAGTGTTCGTTCGACGGGCATCCAAAAGGCTGCATCATTCCGCTGCCACCGTGCCCGCAGAGCCGTGTATTGGGACAGTTTGGCCAATAGGCGGAGCAAAGGCCGCCGCCAGCGCCTAATATTCCCCCCGCATTTAGAGCGTAAACTAAATTTGTGACACAGCGTCGACCAATCAGGAGAACGCGACGTCACAATATTGCAAACGACATTTAAAGCGTGAAATAGAAGCGTTCAATCTTGGCTTTTCTACTCCATCTCACAAATGTCTGCAGTGAAGACAAAGGCACAGGCGCGTGAGCCTAGCTCAGTAAAACGCTTTTGTTTGTACGAGAACTCGTGCATAGGAGGCACTTTCCAAAGCCACGTGCCCATGCCGTTGTCTGCACTGCTGATGTTGGCTTGCTAGAACAGCGTCCTGAGACTGGCTGAAAAAAAAACAGTGCAAAGGGTGGGGCGCGCGAGCGTCTTGAGACGCGAAGTCCCGCTCGGCTCGTGCGCTGGCTTTGGCAGTGCTTTCTTTCCCCGTCTCAGCTGAGACACTGTTTCTAGCAAGTCGGCCCAGGTTTGGAGCGCACGTTCGTTCATTTTACACTTGAATATTGGCGTGACTAAAACCTCACATGCACAAAGTTTTCAGCCACCGAGAGCTAAACGTTTTCACTCTAGCGACGCTAAAACAGCTCAAATTAGTCGTGTCACATATTTAGAGCACACGACCACCGCTAGTGGCTGTTGCGCGATCCGTGGTTGGCCCGAGACGCTCGCCTATTCAAACCAATGTATGGCCAAACTCTCTCAATAAACGGCTCTGCGTGCCCGCGGCTGACAGTGTCGCCGGCGGCCAAACGGCGAATCTGTGTGAGAGCGAAAAAGAGTATCGCGTTTCCATGACACCCCGGTACACCGTGGTCTTTCTGCGCGTGCGACAACCTCGCTGGAGCTCTGCGCGTGTGGAGCATCTGGCGGCAAGAGCCGTCTTGTACGTGCCCACGGGTCGACGAGTCACCTGCCGGCGCCGCTTGAAACCATAGTGAGAGAGAGTGAAGAGCGAACTTTATCGGGCACGTCGCGAGGAGCGCGCTGTCCTCACCTGAAGAGTATTATCTTACACCGTGGTTTCAACTTGTGTCGTACCGCAGGAAAGGCTCCAAGCGCGAGCTCCTTGCTCTATGGCAGACCTCGGCGGCACAAGATCTCGTGCACCAAGGGCAGCTGCCAACGCTATGAGCTCGCGCTTCTAGCCTTCGCTGCGGTACAACATAAGGTGAAACGGAGTGATAAAATCGTGGTACCGACACGTGCACCGCTCAAAGTGAAAAAAAAGGCGGGCTTCGCGATTTTTTCCCCCTTTCCCCCCCCCTACTCTGAGGCCTTCAGGCCATAAGGCGGCATCACAATAAACGTTTTTACAATACAATACCGGATAACTCGACTACAGCGCCGCCAGGAACTCAATACACGCGCCCTCACGAGCTCCCGTTGCCGAGCCGCTCCGGTCCCAACACTACCCAAGTATTCTAGTACACTGTACTACAGCAACAGACACTCGGCGTGAGCATCTCTTTCGTTATCTGCTACACAAACCACTCAAGCAGGCGATGGCGCAGACGATGTTGCAGACGATGTAGAAGACGATGGTGCTCATCCGGGCTACCTAGGGGGTGCTGAGGGGATCTACTAGTGATGTCGTTTAGAGGAGGAAACGCGCAGGCCTTGTGTTCTAGGTGGTATTGACTTGACGCGGCAGGTGAAGTAGCAGCGGTTAACTATAGACCTTTTCACCCTCCGCCGCATGGGCGCTGCCATCTTGGAATCACGTGATGCGGCCGCCATTAGGTTGCTTCAACTTGCTGCTCCGCTCTCCCTTCCGCGCCTTGGCGGATGCGCTGAATTCGTGTTTTTCGTCGCGTTTCACCGCGTCTCTTGCCTTGCTCCGCAAAGTGTCGTCCGATACTTATACTTACCATGCAATTGCATTACATCATTATGCGCGCAACTTCTGTAGATTTTGTAACACGTTTTGAATATTATTATTATTTTTTTATACCTTCGGCGTGCGAGATACGTGTGAAAAGGCTTTATAGGAACAGGAATCAGCGTTAGCTGTTGCGCACATTGACTACATATATGACTTGAAGAGAGCCTCGAGGGTTCCAATACCAATAACTTATGAGAACTGAGATTTGGTTACTAATAAGGGCGGAACATTTGCAATAGGAAGTCCAATGTTATTATATATATGAGTGCGCATTGGTGGCAAGGAAGGAAACAAAACATTTCGCGTGATTAGCCACGTGCTTTTCCTGAAAGCCTGGTGTTTTGTAGTTACAACAGATCGAAAACAGTTTCTTTTGATTACACTAGGGAACTTGTGGACAACACGCGGAAACAAACATTTAGTTTGAATTATTTGTTATGCTAGAAATAATGTTACCTTAATATTAGGCAACTTGTTTGTTCGCAATATCACAACTATATCTGTTATACGTTCTTCATCGCGTGTGCGATATAAGCATTCGCTTTATCGATTTATTTATGAATTTCACGTAATTGTATATCGTGCTTGGTACCATGTTCATAGTCTTTAATATAACTATGCACATTCAATTAATTTATTTCAACACAAATATTCGGACTCCCCACGTAAAAAACTGTCACAGACAGCCTGATAGTGCCTATAATTCACAAAATGTGACGCCGAAAAGAATCTTTCAGCATAAAAATCACCCGAGTGCAGCCGGTTGTCGACGGCGAATAGGGAGTTACTTTCAGTAGCTGGCGACGTCAAAATGTGCAAAGCGCATCGTTTCAAATCAGTGAACAGCTTTCGTCCATTGGGTGGCGCCTGGCGTTCGACTTCAGCCAAACTTATCGGAGATCATTTCTTTTGCGCTCTTCAATTTTATTCGGCAAATTTTACGGAAGATGAATATCAGACTTTATTTGAAGTCTGGCCATTCACTTATCTCATCATTCTCATACCTTGAAAACGTCGTAAGCAAATGACCATATAACAATAAGTTTATTTCATAAGGCCAATATTTTGAAATGCTGTTAATTAATGAGTACTTTAGTTAGACATTTTCTAGTCAGCCTAGGCTGGTCTATCAAAATATTTCTTGATCGCTTAATTTCTTTAAATAAAACCGGTCGAGACAATATCACGATTTATATTATCTACGTGATTTATGAAACTTTTCTAGTCATTATAAAAGACGTTTCCAGTCTCGCAGTTAGAAAAGGTTGGTGTACGGAAAGCAAACATCGAACAGTAAACTTGTCAGTTCACCTGTTCTTGGTGATTCAGCAGATTGTTAATCACGCTTTCGACCTGATTTTTCACTAAGCACTCATGCAGTATAGTCTATTGGAATGTAAGGTTAGCAGTAGCAGCTCTGACTTGAGCGCGAGCTATCTACCTTCCGTACAGCTCGGTGCACCCACAGCCAAAGCACGGCGGCAGGTAACGAGCGCACGCGGCAGGCGGAGTTTGTCCTGCTCTTTATTTATTTTTTTTTTCTTCTGGAAATTAGTGTCCGCGGGTACGGCCGTAGACAATGGTACTCCTCCCTGTGCATCAGCGCAGTTGTTTCACCGCCGAACCTGGCCGAAATTAACGATGAACGGAATCAGACGCATTTAGTGTTCGTAAAAAAAGAACGCAATTTAGGCACGAAACCACTTCGTGGTTTGCCAAGTGGCTCAATACTATTGTTTCATTAGCTGTGTGCTACAAGGAAGAAATTTATATCGCAAAATTAATTGAAAGTGGCATGAAACAGCATCACAATCCCGTGCACGTTGAAACCGAAACCGACCGAATTGAAGCAACCTAATGGCGGCGAGTGCGTCAGCGCCCTCTACCCGCCGGTCAGGCAACTACTGGAATGAAAAGGTCTATAGAGGGTGGACGCCATATCTGAGTGTGCTGTTCATAGCGGATGTTCAAAACGAGCTCGCAGCTGCCGAGGCTGGCAATCTTGACGGTGTGTACCGCACGTTTCACAGGCATGCACCATTGAAGCTAGCCTCCAGCACGTGCTGCTCATACTTCATACAAAAGACAGTCTGCAAATACGAGTCACCGCAAAGCACTCTAAAAAAAGTCTGTGCGCCTACTTTCACGCCCAACGCTCGGAGAGCCAATCAGCGCAACTTACGGAGGCAGCTCAACGAATGATGATGGCGAAACATATGTTTAGACCAAAAAACGCAGTCTGAGTTGTGACATTAAGCAATGCAAAACGTCACGCTTGCATTGCTTAATGAAACAACTCAGTTTGCGTTTTTTGGTCTAAACAGATGTTTCGGCATCGTCATTCGCTGGGCTGCCTCTGTAAGTTGCGCTGATTGGTTCTCCGAGTGTTGTGCGTGAAGGCAGACGCACAGACTTTTTTTAAAGTGTACCCCTGGTTCGAATGCCGCGGGCCGAGTTTCTGCTTGAACGTATTGCCATGCTGCATTCGAAGCACGGATCTCGCGGTGATTCGCGTTCAGATCTATGCAGGCTATCTTCCGTATGATGCATAAGCAGTGTAACTGCGGCTTATGGCCGCCAGTGAAAACACCTAAATGCCCCATTTATGAACTGATATTTTTTTTGTACTCAGCTTTGCGCGAGCTGTGTTCCGCCGAGCATAGACCTAGCAGACAAGGGAGCCTTCATCGCTTACCTCACGGGTCTTCTGAAGGCCGCTGGGTTGCTGCCGACAACGTGCGAGCTGCTTCGTGTGCAGCGCACCTTCTCCAGCCTGGAGAAAGCGATTGGTGAGCATCCCTGGCATCAAATGGTGTGTCCTGGGAAGGTAAATGGCGAGCACATGCGGAGATCTCGCTTTTTGGTGACAATTTTTATTAAGGAGTTTTAGTATATCGTTTTCAAAGAACCGCTACTACTACGGCCGCGCGCTTCAAAGCACGCATCGAAGTGCCAGCAGGGGCTCCCAATACAAACAGCGGTGCCTGAAAACACGATCTACTAAAACCCTCTATTCTCAAAATCGGTTCGTGTGGACATGGCATACTGAAGTCTGACGCAAACCTCCGGTTTATATATGAATAAGTTTGACGTTCACCCGGATGAAATAATTTCTTTAATTGCTAGGTAATCGTTACTTTATTGATGTTCACAAATATGTTACGTATGTAAGCAGGGGTAATGCCACTTGAACAAAACGCCACAAATTCATAGTGCTTGCTTCTTTTGCTGCTAGACAGTTGTATTTGCTTTTTTTTTTTATTAAATGCATCGACGAAAGTTGTAAATAATGGAATTTTTTTTTTATTTATTGTTAATATTTTTAACACTTGAGGGTGATGTTTCTTTTAACATGTCTACCTGTTGTGGCCTTACGACCGGCAGTACACGTTCAAAATGTATATAGATTTGTAAATAAATGTATCCGCAAAGGTCGAAATTTGTACCACGTGGGCCATCTGTGTTGGGCGCTTTTAACTGAATGAAGCAGATGAGCTATATCATATCCAACCGTTTAAACAACTTCTCTAGCGGCAATTATGATCACACAAGAAACGTCGATCATCGCGGTAATTTAAAACTACGACTACGTGTCCCCAAATTTGGACCGTACACGAAACTCGTGCTAGCTTAGAATTCCTCAAACGTCTAGTTCTTCTACTCCTCGATCCTTTAATTTCCTAAAGCAATAATACGTAAACCATAACACCGCGACATTTATCCTCCAACGTGTGAACCAGAGTGTTCTTGTTCTGTCATTTGTGCCACAAGAGTGTCGGTAAGGCGAGGTGAAACTGTAATGCGGTGATTTTAATCATCAAGTCGTGGACTGAGACAAAAGTGACGAACTAAGATCACACTCAATTGGATTTTTCTTCACAAAATTCTGGAAATGTGTTGCTTCTTTTTAGCTATCACTCAGCAGAAATGTGATGTTTTGTTTTTTTACTAATGAATTTTTGCCTATAGTTAACCTGTCACCAATATTTATGTACGCCACGTTTACCATTTTTATACAAATTTTCTCAGCCAAACAATTCTGATCCCATAAAGGCAGGTCCTCCTAGAATAAAAAACCGCCTACATTTTTTTTTCTGCAGATTATTACATAGTTATGAATCGCCTGACAACCGTCGTTAAAGAGGAAGAACGGCCTCTACTACTCGAAGATGTCAGCGAGCAAGCGAAAGAGTGGTGGGCTCAGAAAGAAGCCGGCGGCTCACCTTTCGACTCTCAAGTGTTCCTGGTGCACGCCCTCAAACCCGCGTCGTAGTCGTCTTGCCCAATCGAGTAACGATCTGCAGTCGGGGTTTGGTCAAATAAAGTCGGGGTATAGAGGCAAATGTATCTATGCCATGTCAATGTCAGCAGGGATACACGGCGACCGTTCTCAATATTTTCGACGCATCTGCCCCAGAGTACGAAGTGAAAACGTCGAGATTCTTTCTCCTTCACCAATTGCTTTCTTTCCTTTTCTCTCTCTTTCTTTCTTATCTTTATGATAGACGCGTTCTGCAAGAGCTGACCGAGCTGACCACCAAATCCTGTCTTTGACGACAAGCTCTCGTCCATGTCAAATTGACGACATTTTTACTATCAAGTCTCAGTTTATTCCACTGGCATTGGAAATTAGTCTAACGCTGTCAACGTTTCGCGCCGCCAAGGCGAATATTATCCCAAGGTTTTTATAAACATGGGATGTTACGTAAAATGGCCGTTTTGGGCGTTGCGTTCGGCAGTGCAGTAAAAATTTCAATCCTGGTAGTGAGGGGTGGTCAGGTATCGCTCCTCGGCCTTTTACCTATCATCGTTAGCAGACAACTGTTCTTGTCAGCTTAATACCTGGTACGGGGCCAAGGGGCCCTGAGGCATTAATCTTATTTTGTGGAATAGCCTTCTTCACGAGCTTGCTCTGAAGATGGTAGGGTCAGGCCGGCGTTGCATAGCTGCCAAGATTCGCCCATATCTTTGATAATAAAAACGAGAGGGTTCGCCTTTATAAGTTCCCTCGTACCCGTTTATATACAACAGTAATCTTCTCTTTTTTTTTTACAGTGAAACTGTATGTGCCTAAAGTTCAATGCATTTTTGGTATCCGTATGCAGAAACTAAATTGAATGTAAAAGCGTTCCATTGTATGGAAATGCATATACGCCCCGTCACCTCGATATGCATTTTGAAAAGGAAAAACGTCCAAACGTGTGATAAGGGAGATACATCCGAGAACAATGGGCCTCCTCCCGCTCCAGTTGGGTGACGTCACTGCTTTACATATATAAGAGCTGCAGTTTTTATATATGTAATGCTGTATATGTGTAGATTTAACTTTAGCAAAGAATCTCACCGAAGTTGTAATGGAACCCATTAGTGTATATCAAAGTAATCACAAAGCAATCCTCACTACCGCTTCAATATTGTGTCTTTATACTATAAATAAACATTTGGTGAAGTACATTTTTGTCTCTTGGTGAATCATGTGTGGCGGTGCTCTACAGCTTCGCTGGCCAACCACCTTCCCAGAGGGGAACGGCAAGCGATTTTTTACGTATGCCATTTACATTATATTTTCTAGAGAAAATATACTGCTTCCAAGATCATCATGAAGAGGATGCATCGTGTATGTTGTACTTTTACAAATTTACATTATAGTCATAGCGAATACCAAACGTGGTCAATACCATATGCAAAAAGAAGCTTCATCGTCCGTTCACCCCTAAGCTGATACTGCACTGGGAGGTACATTCTTAGGAAAACGATTTTATATAGTCCTCCCCAAAAGGGTGGGAACGCACTGACCTGTCTTTCGATTTAAAACGCGTTCCATTTCTCTTTTTTTTTTTTTTTTTTTTTTTTTTTTTTTTGGGGGGGGGGGGGGGGGGTTGAGGTGAGGTTGAAAAGGGAACCGCGAGCCGCATGCGGCTCGCGAACCGCAGCTTGGTCAACCCTGGACTATGCCACGAATCTAGGGCACTACTGCAATTTTTGCTCAGTTCTTGTCTTCTCTCTCTCATCTCTGTCAGCTGGTTTGCGTTGCAGTATGGTGCAGATGGTTTCAGATGCGCATACCAGGAGACCACTAGGATACCCAGGATCACGCAGGCAAGAAAATTGCTTTACAAAACTTTGCCCATTACTCCGGTGAAAATATTTCTTTAAGGCCAATACAAGAGCAATGTAGGAGACGCTGCGGTTTATAGTTTCGGAATGTCCGGACGCAAAAGGAAGATATGCTTTGCACGACCTCAGTTCAAGCTTCCAAAATAAGTGTATATCTTTAACTTCCCGTGTGAGAGAGACTGGTGGTATTGCCCCCGGATATGTGTTGAGTGCATGGCGGTGATATCGATAGCCTTCCCATTTTATGAACCGAAGGCATCAAATCCGTGGAACAATGACAGAGAAGGCTCTAGGGTTTAGTTGCCAAACCTACAAAGGTCATCTGACTTGCCCCTGCAAAGAGCCGAGAAATACTTTAGACCATCTGTAGACCTGTAAAGGCCATTTCTTAGTGTTTATTAAACCAGGGATATTGGAATTTGGGGTATTGTGTAATTTCCCCTGGAGGTTTAAGCATCCCGTTACTACCTTCTGTATTATGACTGTACTCAGGTGTGCCTCTTGATGTAAGTATTGAGATTTGTGTCGATTAGAATCTCTCAACACATTGCGGAGCTTGCCTTGGTTTCTTTTTCTGCATCACTTTTTGTCACAGTGCCTATTAAATCACTTTTTGGAAGATAACGATTTCAGCTCTGTTTGACACCTTTCAGTGTATGTGTCCCTTTTTACGTACAATATCGGGGTTTATGTTATGTTGCACAGCAAGTTTGTTTTTCCACCTTCCATAACAACGCTTGGAAGAGTGGCGTAGTCGTTTAGGTCAACACGTCACTTGTGCCGTCAGTACACCCACCAACGACTCACCAAATTGAGCACACTGCCGATATAGTGACGATTTATTTGAAACCACGACGTCACTCTTCCAAGCGTCGTTGTGGACAGGGCTTGTGATCCTCCTTCTGAGGGCAATTTTTAAATCAGGCAAAAAAACTCTAAGATGGTTTGATGTATATCTCAAAAACCATTACCCCTTCGCAAAATCTTTATATTTATCTAGTCTATGAAATAGTAATTTTTGTCAATACTGCAATTCTAATATGACGCCTAAAACCACTCATAAAATTACTTAAAAAATGTAAGTTAATTATTCAACTTACCGTTACGAGTATATCGTCATATAATGTACACCGAGCCCGATAAATACATGGTGAAGTCGGAACTCGAATCTAACCCCTTTTTCTTTTTTTTTGCACATGTTTGAATTCAAAATAACCACCCTGCATATTTAAGTATCACTCTCGCTTTCGATTAAACAAAACGCCATATTTTTTATACTATAATAAAATGCAAATAAATATAATATAATAAATATAACATAAAACTCTAAATTATAAATGAAAAAAAAACGTAACGCTCAGTCTGCTGGTTGCAATGGGCCCCAGCTGTTTCCGCCAACACACGTGTGCTCCCCTAGATTAAAAAAACACGTCATGTAAAAAGGCGCGTCATTCTCTCATTTTACATATATTTTCGGTGGCTCGTAGGAAACGAGCGCATTTGTTTGGTCATACGCAGTTACTTGGGCAGTGTGAAGTCACGCTAACTGAACTCTTTTTCAACGCTATTTGAAAACAGCGCCCTTCAACCGTCGCCGACGGAGCCCCAAGTATGTCCGTGAAAGACATGGCCATTTCCAGCACCATGAGGCCTGACGAGTACGTGGTGAGAAACAAAGTGCAGCGAGAAAAGAGCATTTATGCCTTAAAACTACTCGAAGGATCATTTGGGAGTGATGACACCTCCGACCACCAGTTCCTCGACGTGGGATGCGGTCCTGGAGACGTCACGCGCGACTGCCTTCTTCCCCTCTGCCCTCCGTGCCGAAGGATCGTGGCCGTTGACGTGTCCGAGGACACGGTGAAGTACGCCAAAGAGCATTTCGCCCATCCCAAGATCTGCTACGATGTCCTGGACATTGGATCTAAGGATGTGTCAGACTTCGTCAAGCGCCACGGAGAGTTTGATCGCGTCTACTCTTTCTTTTCATTGCACTGGATCACGGACCAAGAAACGGTCTTGAAAAATGTCGCCAAGTTGATGAAACCCGGAGGAGGCTGTCTTCTTCTTTTTACGGCTTCCAGTCCTATGATGCGCTTTCGGAAAAAAATGGCCAAAATGGAGCGTTGGCAGAAGTACAGAAAGGTATGGAAACATTCGCATCTTTTCGTGTATATTTTTATCATTTAGAGACCTTGTTTCAGGCGTTACACAGAAGGCAAGCTCACCGCTTTTGCTTTTGGGTTCCCAAGAGTTACGGTGTGATTTTGTTGGGGCACAAATCAGGTCACCAAAACATCTGCTTCCTCTGATATCTCGCTGGCCCAATGACCGTACTGGCAAACTAGAATCCACAAATATTTATTTTATTTTTCTTCCGTCAAGAGAGATGGTAGCTGGAACAAAAAGCTGCAGCAAGTCAAACTTGACGAGATCCCAGCTGCAAGATGAAAACTTTGAACGTAATATATCATAGGTCAATTAAAATTTTAACAAAAAAACAATCATGACACTGAAACTTTTAAGAATAAACATATATTTTCGCTGTAAGAATAAATAGACATTTTACGAGGTTGAAAATGACCATGTGCTGGTGTCCCATTGGCCACTGGAGTGACTGGCGCAAGGACTCTTGATCAAAAAAATATGCAGTGCTTAGAGACATACTCGCTCTCCCAGCATAACCCTCCCCCCCCCCCCCCTTGCTCTAGAGCAGGGGTGGTCAGGCTGGCCCGGCCTAAGAGCCGCACACGAAATCACGAAACTTCCAAGAGTTGTGGGGGGGGGGGGGGGGGGGGGGGGGTGGAGGGAGGGAGGGAAGGGGGGCAAATTTAAATTTTGTTCAGAGTCTGATTGTATGTATGAGTGCATAAGGCTGTACGAGAGTACAGCCTTGTGCATTTATACGTAATAAAGTAATAAGTAATAAAGTAGCCCAACCGCGAGCCGTACTTTATTCTGCCTGAAATCCCGTCTTTTTTTTCCTGGAGAAACGCGGAAAGGGGCGGAGGGGGGGGTCCCTTACGAGGGATCCGCGAGCCGCACTTGGACCAGCAAAGAGCCGCATGCGGCTCGCGAGCCGCGGTTTGGCCACCCCTGCTCAGAGCCGTGTATTGGGAGAGTTTGGCCAATAGGCGGAGCAAAGGCCGCCGCCAGCGCCGAATATTCCCCCTGCGCCTAGAGCGTAAACTAAATTTATGACACAGCGTTGACCAATCAGCAGACCGCGACGGCACAATATTGCAAACGACATTACAGCGTGAAATAGAAGCGTTCGATCTCGGCCTCTCTACTCTATCTCATAAATGTCTGCAGTAAAGACAAAGGCACAGGCGCGTGAGCCTTGCTCAGCAAAACGCTTTTGTTTGTACGAGAACTCGTGCATAGGAGCCACTTTCCAAAGCCACGCGCTCGTGTCCATGCCTTTGTCTGCCCTGCTGATGTTTGTGCGGATGGAATATAGGTGACAGTTCGCTCTGGGCCGGCTTGCTAGAACAGCGTCTAAACCAAGACTAACCGAAAAAAAAAAAAAAAAAAAACAGTGGTAGGGCGCGCGAGCGTCTTGAGACGCGGAGTCCCGCTCGGCTCGTGCGCTGGCTTTGGCAGTGCTTTCTTTCCCCGTCTCGACTGAGACGCTGTTTCTAGCAAGTCGGCTCTGGTTTGGAGGGCACGTTCGTTTATTCTACACTTGACTATTGGCGTGACTAAAACCTCACATGAACAAAGTTTTTAGTCACCGAGAGAAACCTTTTCACTCTAGCGACGTTAAAACGGCTCAAATTAGTCGTGTCACAAATCTAGAGCTCGCGACCACCGCTAGGGGCTGTTTCGCGGCCTGTGGTTGGCCCCGAG